CTATGTCTTAGTAAATGAATCTCACACAACTGCTATTTCATAGTATGTTTACATTGTAAAGTCTGTTCAGCTTTTTAAATTATAAAATACAGTATCATTTCCAGGTTTTGTTAGTATGGAAGGTATGGTATTTTTATAATGTTTGTTCAGTTATATAAGTGGTACTATAAACAGTCTGTTGCCAAATACAATTTTTTGGAAAAAAGTAAAATAACTAATCTGTTACTAACAGAGTTGTCTTTGGAAAAGCAGCGAGTTAAGCCCTATGGACTACTTCTTCTGCAACATAAGTAGGAGGTTCCTAGTTCTTTCATGTTCCTTTGATATTGGATCATTAGGGGCTAAGTTTTGACATACTTGGGTGGTTATCACAAATCACTGTGTTTGGATAGAGTGCTCCTTCAGCATTGTAGTGAATTTTTCCTTCGCAGACCTTAGATTTAAGCTCATAACATGCAGTTGTTGTGAGCTATAGGAAGAAGGAGATGTATGGAAAATGTCTCCTTAGTTTTTTTTCCCCTGAATATTACTGATGGAGTATTTATGGTATACTGAGGACTCTGTTCTGCAGGTTTTACTTCAGACAAATGCAATAAAATACAGTTTCTAAAGAAATCTGCAAAAGCAGAAAGAAATCTCATAACTATTTCCAGAAATTACAGCCTTTATCTTTCAGTGCTTCAGGTTACGGGAGCTTCTTCTTTTGATTGTGGAATGTGAGGTGTCTCAGTGCCTTTTCCTTGTGCCTTATAATACCCTTTCTATTTGACCTAAGTATCACAGATGTGTAGATGCTTTCATTTTGCTTTATGCAGAGTAATTCCATAAACTGTAAGGCACTGGTGAACCAGTCCTTCTCTTGCTATTTGCTATCTAGAACTGCAACCTCGGCCTTGGTTTCTGTTGAGGTAATTTGAGTGTTTGCTGCTGACTTTGGGAAATACAAACAGAATCACATTCTTTTTTTTAGTTGCCTGAGCTCTTTGTATATTTCTAGGAACATGCCTTTCCAGTAAAAACCTCATATATTGCACATATTTGCACACACAAATCCCAGACGTCACTTAAACTGCCACCAATGCATGGAAACTAAAAAATGGAGGGGGGGGCAAATCAATAAAACAATCATCAAAGTTAGGCAGGGAGAATTTGTCCTTTCAGCACATCTATTTTGCCCTGTTTCGGTGTGGGCTGGTAGCCCAGTATGTGCAAGTTCTCCTGAGGACATGATTTTTCAAGAAAACAGATGACTAAACACAACTAGCAAGTATGATGATAAGCAAATACAAATTTCTTACTCCTGGATCATTCTAACACTTCTTAGAACAGTTGATGAGGGCAAGTAATTGACAATCTCCATTCCTGGACAAAACTGCATCTCAAAAATGTAGGTTCTTGTAACTTTTTGTTAAACACCAGTCTTCCATACCTAAGGAGGCAATAGTACTTGCAGTAAGGGACTCTCCAGTATCTATAGTAATGCTACCAGTTGTGGCCAAATACTAAATACAGATAAAATAGCAAATGAGAAAGAACCTCATTTCAGACAGTCTTCAAATCTGATCTATGAAACTGTTTTTCCTTTAAAAATAAATTGGTTTACTTTTTGTCATCTTGCTGAAGTATCTACTTGCTTAAGTAAAATAGCTCTAAAAAGTAGTAGGACAGCATAACTACTGGTATACCTCTTCGGGCGCAAGTAAGTTTGTGGAACAGAACCAAACACTTGGAGTGAAAAGGCTCCCATCAGAGACGGAATATTCTTAATATTTTTTACGTCTATTTAATTATTCAAATGATCTAATGATATTAAATTCTATTTATTATTCAACTTAGAGTTCTTCACTTAGCTGATTCTTGAGGTCTGTTTGGAGCCTTCACTGTAGAGACCAGGTTGGTATAGATGTGTCTAATCTTAATGGTGTGCTGCAACTACTGTTTTGCATATCATATTTCTTATGTGTATACACATACATGTATCTTACATGCTGTAGGCATTCAGCATCTGATGGCACAGTGTTCTGGAAGACCACACAAATACCCTTTGGAGGGATTCACTTTCCCTTGCTACATGGCTAGTTCAGACTACGTATGTACCCTCCTGCAGTGCCAGATGTGTCGTCCCTCTTTGGAGGAAGCGAGCCATTGCACATGTATGTGGGTACCAAAGTCAGCTTGCAAAACTGACCATCTGGCTGGACAGAAGGACCTTTTAGGGAGAAAAGGTCTCCTCTGCATAAACCAATGCTCAGCAGCAAAGTCGTAAGAATATGGAGATGATGGCAAATTACTGGGAGTGATCAATAATGGCTCTTGTGCTCTGCAAGTGAAAGAAGTAATTTTTGTGGGAAAGAAAACAAGTGAAACATAGGCTAACCAAAGCTGATCTGAACCAACAAGATTAAGTACAGTAACAGATAGTGAAAGATAGTTTACTAGAGTGGCAATTGGTGCAGAGAACAAGGTAGTGCTTTAGAGCAGATTGTTATCATAAAGTGAAACCAAGTCAAGGAAAATCAGTTCTCAGAAATATTAGAGCTTGATGGCAATTTTTCAATTTTACACAGAGAGACAGAGATGAAATGGGTAGATATCTCATGGATTGTGGAAGTGAGGTACTCACTGCAGTATGCACCTTTACTTGCTCCTGATGTGTTGTTCAGGAGATAGAGACACCACATAACAATCAAATATTGCACATATCAGCTGTATAGTGAACTGATTTCCAAATATTTCCAGGGCATTTGCTCTTCCCTTTCCTTTCTCAGGGAAATACGGAACCACGAGTCCTCATATAATTTTTCAGTCGTGATTGAAGTAGACATTAGCTGATGAATGAAGCAAACAGGGTAGTTGTTTCTTTGGGTCCTGAACTGGATCCAGCTCTCTAATAATTGGGATATGTGAAACTCAGATCCTCATTCCCACCTGTCAATGTAGTTTGCTTCCTGGTAGTGTCAGAAATAAGTTCTAGGAAATTCTGCTCTGAAGGACAAAGACAAGTGCTTTGCTGTGTTGATGCTGTGAATTTTGTTGTGTGCTGGTGTGCTGGTTTGCTCTGTATCTTTCTTTTTAAAGGACCTACTCTGTCCCAAGCAACTCCTGAACCTTCTTCTAGGCAAGCTCATTCAAACCTTCCAGGGCAAAATTCCTGATGTTTGTTGTTCTGAAAAGTACCTTCAAAAATCTATTAATGTGGCCTAAGATTTTCTTAAAATTAAAGAAGTCAATAGACTGCATGAGCTTGCACATGGTGCTTTTCTCCAGCTCTCATAAACAAGCAGCTCCTGACATACAGTTTCGAGGAGCTGCCAGCTGGTCACTTTCTTCCCATAAAAGGCATGGCATCAACCTTGCTGTGACATTAATGTTGGGATGGATGCTGCTTTTTTGGTCTAAACCACATCTTTGGTTTGTGAGTATCCCTGCAAAACACCTCCACTAAAATTCTCACACTTTTCTCTTCCAACATTAAGTTTTGTTATTATTTGTTGGAGTTTAAGGGTAACCTTCTGGCTGTTATTAAAACTTCTAAAGGAAGAAACTTTCCATTTCACAAAACAAAGTCAGTGATATTTCTGAAAACTCAAAACTGAGTTTGTTCTGAATTTCAGACTTGGCAAGAACACAGGTCTTGATAAGGTCTGCCAATGTTTGTTTAGTCTGGAAGTCTTTGGCCCCAAAATAAAAATTCCTTGTGATAAGCATGATGACAGTACTTACCCTGCATGTACATTTCTTGCTTATTTAGCACTACTCCTCTTCTGCTCACTATCTGCAAGATAAATTATAATCCATATCTGACTTGATTTCTCTTGAAAATGTATCTGCCATCTGTAGTGACATAGGAGTTCTTCTTCCTCATACATGATAGCAGAACCCACCACTCTGTGATTTGACGTGAAGGAAATCATTCAAGTGAAGGATTTATTAATCATAGATAATCATAGAATGGCCCAGGCTGGAAGGGACCTCAGAGATCATTTTAATCCAGCCTCCCTGTCTCCAGGGACACCACCTCTTGACGAGATCAGGCAACACATGGGGACCAAACGGGAATAGAACCTGCAACCTTGGCGTTCTTAGCGCCACACTCAGCTGACTGAGATTAATGGTAGTAGAATACTTACTTATCAAGTAGTATAACCAGATTGCATGTCTGCTGTCTCCTGAGATATTCCTGGAAGAGGTCAGCTTAATGTCCACAAACAGCCAGTTTTTTTAATACAGAAGTTTGCAGTAGGGTGACTGACCCATACCGTGAGGTGTGAATTACAGCATGTGCATATCAGTTAGGCACAAATGAAAACATCAGTGAGGCACAGGATCTGCCCTACTGCTGTGACATGAGTATAAGATGTTCCTTTACCTACCCTTCTAGTCCATTTCTTCAGTCACCCTGCAGGTTAGCACTGCTGATGGCACTCACCTGATTTTGTTCTTACTGTTAACACTTAGGTAGAGAAGCTGTCAGGGGAGACACCTCTACTTCCACAGAAAGCAAGAAATATGTTCTACACCTAAGCAGTTGGTTGGATGTAAACTTAATTTAAAGCCAGACTAGATATTTTCAAATTTATGATCTATCTTTTTGTAAATGGAGGTATATTTTTCCCATGCTTGACTATGAGCAGAATGCCAATGTACATTCAGACTCCTTAAAAGATAAAGCAACCAAGCAAAAAGAGCCTTCTGTCTGAGGCCTGCCAGGGCAGAGTAATTCCCCCACACCCATTAAACTAAGTCATACCAGTAATTCTAATGGAACATCAACTATTGCACTGATTATAGGACAAGGAGCATCATCTCAAAGCTGCAAAACCACTGCTGCACATACCTACCCACCCACCACACAGAGCAGCTCACATGACGTGGTTTGTCACTGCATGATAATGTTATCTGTTAGTAGATGTGCATCAGTATCATGGTAAGAACATAACTGGTGCAGTCTGAGTATATTCTGAGTTATCAACTTTATTTTTTTTTTTTAGTTTAGATACATGATGGGGTATGTACATTTGATCTTCCTATCTACCTTCCTCTCGGTTTCCGTGACATCTGAAACATGTAAGTCACATTTTAAAAATACTTTCTGATGAGGTTTATTCTGTAGAAATGTGTAGGCTCTTCTCAAATTTGTACATTTTATAAAACCTAAAATCAGCTAGTTTAGCTCAAGCCACAAACCATAGCTTAAAAACTAGCTTTATGTGTTTTTATATAAAAATGCACTGAGTGCTGTCCATTTCTGTGCCATTAAGATTCTACTTCTGCTCTTTGGCATCTCTGCAAGCAGGAGGAAAAAGGTCTTTTTGAAAGGATTTGAGAGTAGCTGATGTTCCAGGACCCAGATGGGCAAAGTCTCCAAGAGCATGCTGAAATTACACTGAACAGGACACATGTCTATACACCCTATGGAACCAAGGATGTAATTGGGGGCTTTACTCATTAAAAAGGCTTTATAATATCCTGGTTTTGTAGGTGTTAACCCGTAAGAGCAATGCAACAAAACAATTTCCCTGTACATGAGAGATATTCAAACCAGTAAACTCTTGTTGAAGGGTCAGCTCTTGCTGACTCAGCTACATGATGCTGGCCAATGCTGACAAGTGACAGCATTACACAGCACTCACGTAGTTCTAGTCTGCAGCAGCTGAGATGCTTTTTTGTCTAAGAAATATTGTAAGATATGATCTCTAAGTATTTTCCCATATTCTCAGTTTAACAATATGAATGCTAAGTTGCAAATCAACTACATTTATTAAGGCTGAATTTTGCCAAAGGATTTTCCATGATCATTTTTTTCTGATGTCATTGGGGTTCTGTGTGTTCCCTCTCTGCTTTTATTTTTCCTGGAAGAAAGCTGTATTTCCAATTTGTCCCTCCTTTGATGTGGCAGTGCTGCCTTTCCTGATACCCCGATACATCCCACTGTCTTTTCAGGACTCACAGGTGGGAATGCTCTTAAAATTATGGAGTTGGGAGTACTCATATCGATGCAGCTAATTTAAGTGTCTGAATTAGTAAGTGAGATAATATCTAATGTTAGTGGTGAAGGATTGTTTCTATAGAAAGAAGCAGAGCAGAAGCCAAGTGTAGAGTAACTCGCCACCTGATTTGTGCAGCTACTTGTCTAAAGCCAGGTGATGGCAATGCACCCACAAAGTGTCATCACAGAAGGATATTCTCTGTTTTAGTTAGATATTTGGTTACCTACTCTCATTTTCATGCTCCTTTATCTACTGTAGCTCCTCTGCCAATCTCCATCTTTGTCCAGTCTCCATCCTTGGGTATTTTCTCATCTTTCTCCTCTCCAAAATGCAATTTAACTTGCAGATTAGTGTTTGTGTTTTCAGCAGTCAGTTCACTATTGAGGTGCTCAGGCACTTAAGTATCTGTCAAAATTGCTTGATTCAAGTTTATCTGGACCAGTTTTAGTATTTTTCCTTCTTATATCTTATTCTTTTCTGTCATCTTTTCTCCTTCCCATCAGATTCTTCAGTGAATCGCAGAACTGCCTACACTGGAAAAGATTTTTAAGATCATCGAGTCCAGTCACTAACTTAACGCTGACAGGTCCTTGAATAAACCATATGCCTAAGCGCTATGTTTACCCAACTTGTAAATACCTCCAGGGAAGGAGACTCCTCCACTGCCCTGGGCAGGCTATTCCAATGCCTGATAAGCCTCTCAGTAAAGAAATTCTTCCTAACCTAATATCCAACCTGAACTTCCCTTGGTGCAACTTGAGGCCATTTCCTCTTGTCCTATCACTTGTTACTTGGTTGAACAGACCAAGACTCCTCTCTCTGCAACCTCCTTTAAGGTAGTTGTAGAGAGTGATAAGGTCTCCCCTGACCATTCGTTTCTCCAGGTTAAAAAACCCCAGTTTCCTCAGCTGCTCCTCATAAGACATGTGCTCCTGACCCCTCATCAGCTTTGTTGCCCTTCTCTGGACCCGCTCCAGCCCCTCAATGTCTTTCTTGCAGTGAGGGGCCCAGACCTGCACACAGGGCTCAAGGTGAGGCCTCACCAGTGCTGAGCACAGGGGCAGAATCACATCTCTGCTCCTGCTGGCCACACTGTTCCCGATAAAAGCCAGGATGCAGTTGGCCTTGGCCACCTGGGCACACTGCTGGCTCATGTTCAGCCGGCTGTCCATCAACACCCCTGGGTCCCTTTCTGCCTGGCAGCTCTTCAGCCACTCCTCCCCAAGCCTGTAGCACTGCTGGGGGTTGTTGTGGTCAAAGTGCAGGACCTGGCATTGGGCCTCATTGAAACTCATAGAGCTGGCCTTTGCCCATCGATCCAGCCTGCCTAGATCCCTCTGCAGAGCCTCCCTACCCTCAAGCAGATCGACACTCCCACCCAGCTTGGTGTTGTCTGCAAATTTACCAAGGGTACACTTAATCCTCTCATCCAGATCGTTGACAAAGATATTAAACAGGACTAGCCCCAGTACTGAGCACTGGAGAAGGCTGCTTGTGATCGACTGCGAACTGGATGTAACTCCATTCCACACTTTGGGCCTGGCTATCCAGGCTTTTTTTTTTATCCAATAAAGTGTATGCCCACCCAAGCCATAAGCAGCCAATTTCCCCAGGAGAATGCTTTGGGAAATGGTGTCAAAGCCTTTAATAAAGTTCAGGTAGACAACATCAGTGGCCTTTCCCTCATCGACTAAGCAGGTGACCATGTTGTAGAAGACCTTCCTTTCAGCTGGTTACATTTCTTTCATTTTTTTCCACATTTTCGTGAAGTTCAGGGAGTAGCTCTTCTAGATTTTGTCTTTTATATATATATATTTAATGGTCTTATCTACAGGCTTTTTTCTTCCTCTATTTTCTTCTTCCATTAAAAAAAATATTTTTTTCCTGTATTAAAAAGGAAGAACAAGAAGATACATTGCTATCTATCACCTCTGAAAACCACAGAAAAGTAGAGGGACATTACTGGCCTACTGACCCAGAAATGCCAAGTTCTCCTCTGTCTCAGTGGGGCTAAAGTTTAATTCATCAGAAATATTTATCTTCTGTTCATTTGCAGTCCATGCAATGGAAGGTGAGGCTTTTGTTATAAAATGCTCTCGACGGCAATCATCTGTGAAAATCACCTGGTATCACACAGAAAGTAACAAAATAATTCCTGCAGAAGAAGAGGGATCACGAATATTTTCCTCAGAAGGACGGCTTTGGTTTCTGCCAACTTCTAGACAAGATTCTGGAAATTACACTTGTGTTATACATTTGTAAGTGCCACATTGAAAAATGGAAGGTGTAAGACTGGAAAGAAACACATATGTTTTAGTAATTAATTTTAATTATTTTCTATGGAAAGTATGTATTTTTTTCAGGGTATGCACAAATTCATGTTACTCTTCACCCTGCAATTGCTACTTTTATGACAGGCCATTAAGATCAATCTGTGACTAAACTACAATAATCATCCATATGTTTACAAAACAAGACTCACATTTTTTACAAATCTGTAATGTATTTTGTATACAAATACTACCATTGATATACCTTTATTCCACTTTTAAAGTTCAGATAATACCATAAGCTCGCTCAACATGAATATGCAGGTGCATCCATACAAGCAAGGAGTATGTTTCCCAAGTGAGATTCGTTACCCAAACGAGACTGGAAGAGGAAGAATTCCTTGTCCTACAGTTGAGAATTATAAGAATGCTACTATCATCCAGTGGTATAAGGTAAATAAAACTATTGTGCCAGTTGTAGGTCATATTACTGTGAGAAGCTATTTGCAGCCAAACAAAGACAGTTTTCTTTTCCAGGACTGCAAACCTCTCCAGGGACCAAGATACTTCAAGGCTGGAAATAGTATTTCTATTAACAAGCCGAGGAAGGAGGATGACGGTTATTACACTTGTCAATTTATGTATACTCATAAAGGAAAGGTGTTTAATGTTTCAGCAACAAGAATTTTCATAAGTAAGGGTAAGACCATAATTTCCTATCTTTCTAAGATAAAAATGACCAATGTCTACTTAAAGCAAAGGAAGCTCCTTTGAAAAGGAAGTTCCTTGAAAAGCAAAAGAGTTTCTGCTAGTTTGTTTAATCTTCTTCATAAAATTTCAGATCACCTTTTTCAGGTACATTTTGTGGATGTGAATGCAAATGGTGTAAGATGGGAGAAAATTCAGACCTAGTCACGTTCAGGTTTTTTCTGAAAGTCTCTGATGACTCTGATTATGTACTCTGTTTACTAGAGCTGTTTGGCAGCACTTATTTCTGAAATGAAGAGTCTCCTCAGTGGGATACCACAAAGCTCTGCTTTCTATTTGTTTGAGGGGAGAAGAATTTGTAGCTATTGAGGATCATCTGGTGATCATTGGATCACTGATGTGTTGATGGCCTACAACTAATTACCTTCTGGTCCAGGTTGATTATCTAGAATTTATTTGACATTAAGGCTGAAAGAACTTTTAGATTTGTCTTGAATAAGACAAAATGCATTTTATAT